GCCCGCCGGAGGCTGCCGCTGGCGGACCGCTACGCCCTGCTGCACTGGCACAATCAGGTGTACCCCAGGTGAGCGGGACCGCCGCTGTAAGATCGCACAGAGCCCCAGCCCCACCCTGGCCTCCTCAGATCCTAGGGACCTTGGAACGCCAGCCCTTCAGTCCTAGAACCAGACACCATAGCACCATTGACTATTCAGGCCTCAGCACAATCCTAGAATCTCAGCGCTGTCACCACGGATCCTCCCTGTTCCAGAACCTCAGCAGCATTCCAGTCCCAGCCCCTGGACAATATGGACACTTACACTCTTAGGGATCTTAGCACCATTGATCCTTCCAGTCCCAGACCCATCACGGACACGCTTCTAGAACCTTAGTAACACTGACAATCCTGTCCTTAGGCTTTGGCACCCACCACACTTCCTGACCCAGAACCCATTCACACCAAAGGTTGTTTCAGTTCTAAAATCTTGGGCTGGGGAAATAGCTGCGTTGGTGGAGTACTTGCCTTGCATGCCCAAGGCCCTGGGTTCAATCCCCAGCACCACACACACACACACACACACACACACACACACACACATAAATCTCACAACCTTGACCTAGTAGTCCTGACAGCTGAGCACGGTGGACTCTTCCAGTCCAGAAAAGTAGCAGGGATGACACCTACACAGCTAGAATCCTAGCTGTTCAGACTTCCCGCCCTAGAATTTTAGCACCCTGGACTGTTCCAGGGCTAGAACCTTGGCCGAACTGACCTTCAACTTGACTATTTTTGGCCCTTAGAATTCTAGCTGCTCTCTATCATTTTCCATCTTTGGGCTGTTAACTCGTCCTATCTTTGAACTGTGGAATTCATGGCTCTTTCTTAGCACCTTGTGAGCCTTCAAATCCCACACCTTAGCCTCACCCGCTCTTGGTGCTGAGACCTGGACATGATTGACCCTCCCAGGCCTAGAATCTTACAACCACTGACCTTTGCATCCTAATCTTACCCTTCTTGTGGTGGGGGAATGGAATTTGGTGATGAGTTACATTTGGTCACATATCCTCTCCCGGAGAGGGGAGTTTGCCACCCCAAATTGTACCTTGGTGAGTGAGGGGTTTGGGAAGTTGTCATCAGAAGAATGAGAGGGCAGTGGTACCAGCACTGACCCTGTTGTCCCCATTTCTCCTCCCCATCAGGGATGCTCCCAGACCATCTGGAGAGATGGAGGCAGGGTGGGGGTCTGGAAAGCTTCCAGGAGCAGTGAGTTCATGCCCCGCCCCTGTGGGGAGATGGTTTTTCTGTTCATGCAGATGCAATGAGCAGAAGTCAGGTGCGGGTAGGCTGGAGTAGGGGTGACCGTGGTGATATTGCTCAGCCCAGGCATGCAGGGAAGTAGGAGGAGGACTACGGGGGCTGGACTGGGGAGCCCCTGAGGCCAGGAGAGAAGCAGGACCTAGAAGCAGAGGCAGAAAGGAGCCTGTGTCTGACTAAGTGGATCGTGGGAGAGGCCTTGCGTGTCAGATCAGCAAGCCTAGACTTGACCCCTGTAAGTCTTGCCCGGACACCATCCATCAGGGAGCTGACTCAGAGACCTGGAGCCAGGGCAAGGACTTCCTCTGAGGGATGAGCAGAGCTGGCCCTGAAAGAGGAAGGGAGTGGCCCAGGGTCCCAAACATGGTGGGAGGTCACCAGGTGGGTCCCTTTGCCCAGCCCCTCCTCCCACAGATCTCCCTGTCTCTTATCTCCCACTTTCCAGGGAGGTCCTAGGGCTGGTGGACATGGTCGCCCTGGAGAATGGGGAGCTGGGCCCCCTTCTCTCCCCTGGCACTCTTCGTGGTTTGGAGGACGAATGTGTCACAGATGTCAAGGTACCTGGGACTTGGCATTGGTGATTTGGGGCTGGAGTTGCTCTGTAGAGAGGAAGGGTCACAGTGGGCTTAGGTTGGGGGTCTCCCCTCCTCCATTCACTATTTCCATCTCCCTTTCTCTTTGTGAACTTTTGACTTCTGTCAAAGGCCATAGACATGGAAGCCCACACTGGTCATTTCCGTTCCGTGTTCTGTGCCAAGCACCAGAGCCCTGAAGAAGAGACTTTCTATACAGGTTCCATAACCTTGGACCCTTCAAATCTTAGATCAGGAGAAAGCTGTCACAGAACATCAGCTCAGGAATGCAAACATGTTGTGCAATACCAAAACATCTTTTTATCATGGCTGCGCTGATAGTGAATGCAGTTAATAACAGAACGGCCCCAGCCAACCGGCCTGGCCTGGCCACAGTGGGATTTATTGGCTGATGCTAATCTTTCCCCAGCCACAGAAATCTGATCCTTGCAACCCCAGAGTCTAGAGTCCAGAAATCACATGGCTAGCTTATTGAATTGAAGACAATCCACTGGACCAGAGAACGAGAGATTCTGCATAAGCCTTTGGAGTTCTTGAATCTCAAAGAGTCTGAGTCTTGAACTAATTAAAACTCTGGGAGCAGAGTTTAAGCTCCCTCTCGCAGTGAAAATATAAACCCCTATGAGATGGAGGAAGCTTAACCCACAGACTCAGTATAAAATCTCCAAACCACAGACTTAGGAACAGAAAGGGTTAAATAGATTTTCTGGTTCAGTCTCTCTCCCCAGCATCACCTTCCGCTTAGGGTCTGTAGGTAAAATCCAGAACCCTCTGGGGCTCCAGGGGTAGGGGATCCTGGTGGATATAGAGAGAAAGACCCACCGGTGGCCCCTGCCTCCCGCCTGCCTCCCGTGTTCCTCCTCCAGGCTCAGACGCGGGCAGCCCTTCTTCGGGTGCTGCAGGAAGATGAGGAGCACTGGGCAGACGCGGCGGACTGGTCCAGCAGCCTGGCCCAGGACGTGTGTGAGGTAGGCGGCGGCGGGAGGAGAAGGGGCGCCCTCCAGCTGTGCCTGCCCCCACCTCACCTCTCTCCTGTGGCCCACGCAGCTGCTGGAAGAGCACACAGAGCGAGCGCCCCGCATCAGCCAGGAATTTGGGGAGCGGATGGCACACTGCTGCCTGGGGGGGCTGGCAGAGTTCCTGCAGAGGTAGGGGGTCTGCAGACCGAGGGG